TATAATGGCCTGACAGTGCCTAGAGCAAACTTTTGTTGAGAGGTGATTAGATGTCCTTGTTTGTTTCCTCTCTGTTGTTGTGCTGTTGTTATTTTAGAGTTTTTTAATACTGGTAGCCAGATTTTGTTCATTTTCATGGTTTCCTCCTTTCTGTGGAAATTGTCCACATGCTTGTGTATTTCAATGGCTTCTCTGTGTAGTCTGACATGGTGGTTGTGAGAGTGGTCCAGCATTTGTGTGTTCTCAAATAAAATGCTGTGTTCTTGATTGAAAGCGTTGGCATGCTAGCTAATATACGAACAGGGGATGGGCCAAAGATGTCACTGCCTTGGTCCTTTCATTATTGGCTGCTACTTCCTGGTCGATGTGGACATGAGAGAAGCCTCCCCACAGAATTGCAACACATCTGGGTGTTCCCTGGGCAACATCTTTGTAGATGGCTGATTCCCACATCAGAAGAGACCAGAAATGACTTGTAGATAACATTTTTTAAAAAATTAAATCTCTCAAGGTTTAATACTTCTTGTGATATCAAAAGCAGATGGGATACAATGTAATCTATTTCTTAACAGTATTGAGACTTCATACTCCTGTTTGCATTGTTGTTGCCTGCCTTGGTTTGTTTTTAGGGGCATGCCCTGATCCACCCAGTATGAGATATGCTATGCTAAAAGAAGAGTTTCGTGTCCTGAGGGGTTTTCGTGTTGGGCTCATAATACAATATGTTTGCCGTCACACAGAGCCTGACTATGTTGTCATTAATATTACATGTACTGAAAAGTCACAGTGGTCAAAACCGGACAGGTATTGTATAGGTAACAAATCTTATTTTGTCATTTAATTAATCCAATTATTTAAAGCCATTTTATATGTTCTGTTTCCAAAATGTTTGTCTAATAGCTTTTAAATAATAGATACAACAATGCAAACTGTAGTTAATAGTTAGAAATATCAAAAAAGGTCAAAGGCTTTCATGGCTGGAATCACTGGGTTGCTGTGGGTTTTCGGGGCTGTATGGCCATGTTCCAATTAAAGCCCTGGCAGACTGTGCAAAAAGAATCTGCGAACCCCACCTCCTCCAAGGTGAACTAAACTACCTAAACTGGGCTCTACAGGCAATGGATCCTTCACCACAGATATCAGAAGAACTGCAAGAACAAGAACAAGCAACGAGAGTAAAGACAAAGATCCACCCAGATAACTAATCTAAAACACAGACATATGCTTTTCATCTTAAGAACAGACAAGCATCCCGAGCTCTGAGGATTACCTGGGAAGGAATACCACTGGAGCATTGCAGCACACCCAAATACCTGAAAGTTTGGACTATGCTCTGACCTACAAGAAGCACTGCCTGAAGATCAAGCAAAAAGTGGGCACTAGAAATAATATCATACGAAAGCTGACTGGTACAACCACATACAGTGAAGACATCTGCATTTGCGCTATGCTACTCTGCTGCTGAGTATGCATGCCCAGTGTGGAACACATCTCACGCTAAAACAGTGGATGTGGCTCTTAATGAGACATGTCACATTATCACGGGGTGTCTGCGCCCCTACACTACTGGAGAGATTACACTGTTTAACCGGTATTGCACCACCTGACATCCGCCAGGAAGTAGCAACCAATAGTGAAAGGACCAAGGCAGTGACATCTCCAGCTCATCCCCTGTTTGGGTATCAGCCAGCACACCAACAACTTAAATCAAGAAATAGTTTTCTAAGATCTACAGAGACACTCGCTGGAACACCTCAGCAAGCGAGAGTCCAAAAGTGGCAAGCTCAAACCCAGAACCTCAATCAATGGCTGATACCAAATGAGAGACTCCCTCCTGGCACACAGAAGACTGGGCGACTTGGAAGGTGTTGAACAGACTGTGCTCTGGCACCATGAGATGCAGAGCCAACCTCAAGAAATGGGGCCACAAAGTGGAATCCATGACATGTGAGTGTGGAGAAGAGCAAACCAGACCACCTACTGCAATGCAACCTGAGCCCTACCACATGCACAATGGAGGACCTTCTTGCAGCAACACCAGAGGCACTCCAAGTGACCAGCTACTGGTCAAAGGACATTTAATAGAATACCAAGTCTGCAAATTTTGTGTTTTGTTTGTTTGTTTGTCTGTTTTTTAATGCAATACAACTGTTTTGGTTTGCTCCTGACACGATAAATAAATAACCAGAGGGAAAAGTGTTTTTACCATACATCAAGAGAACCACTGACCACATAGGGAAGGTGATCAAAAAACACAACCTGCAAACTATCTACAGACCCACTAAGAAAATCCAACAAATGCTATGGTCAGCAAAGGACAAGAGGGATCCTCTCACCTCTGTTGTATACCATGCATGTGTGGACAAGTCTACATAGGGACCACAAAACGCAGCATTGCCCAAACAAGACTCAAGGAACAGGAAAGGCACTGCAGACTACTAGCAGAGCACCTAATGAACCAACCTAGACACAGCATATTATTTGAGAACACAGAAATGCTGAACCACTCTAACAACCACCATGTCAGACTACACAGAGAAGCCATTGAAATCCACAAGCATGTGGACAATTTCAACAGAAATTGTCCACATGCTTGAACATGAACAAAATCTGGCTACTAGTATAAAAAATCTTTAAAATCACGACAGTAAATAAAGAGCAACACTTACAAAACAGGGGAATTCCATACATGGAACAATCAAGGTCAGCTAACATCTCCTAACAAAGTATTCCCCCAGGCAGGAAGCAGCCAGGCTTTGAAGCTGCAGGGCCATTTAATGCTAATCAAGGTGGCTAATTGCAACATTCACACCTGTCTCAGGAAGACAAAAGTTCTTTCTCCCTCCCTGGACATTCCACAGATATATAAGCCTCACTTGCCTAGTTTCTAACAGATATCACAACCTAAGAGAATGCATGCCATAGATGTGGGTAAAACGTTAGGAGTGAATGCTTCTGGAACATGGTCATACAGCCCAGAAAACTCACAACAACCCAATATCAGAAAATGCCCCCATTTCCCCAACTTGATCTTTTTAGTAAAAAACCTGATTTTCGATGGTCATGACACATGGAAAAGACACAGGTCGGATTATCTAACCTCATGGATATGGTTCAATGTTCCTGAATGTCTGCTCAGCCAAATCATTTAAGTAAGAATTTTTCCGGTCTTTCGAAAAATGTATATACGGTATGTCTTTGGTGACATCATTTCATGCTCATGTGAATCTTGAAGTCATGTATTGTGAACATCCAACACCAGATTTTGAAAAAGTGTGGGTTGCAATCCATAAATATAAGAGACTGTGTATGATACATAAACTTTGGAAATTGTATTTTATTCTTGATCTTGTTGTTTTGCTGTATATAGTTTCCGAAAAAAATTTCCACTGATCATTCAAAAATTATTATTTTTGTTTCTGTACCTGCATGGCTTTATGTATGTATTTTTTTTCATTTCAGAAACTGTTTGTGCATATCCAGGCCCTCTGAGAAATGGTTCAATCCAAGTCCAACAGGAAAAGTACGACGTTGGCTCAAAAATTACATATTCTTGTGATTTAGGGTAAGATTGCTAAATTGAAAACGTTATATCTTAAACTGATTGTTCAGTACAGGATAAGAGAGGAATCCAACCAAAAGCAGTATCTCAGTTTGATAATGAACATTTCTCTTAATCTGGATAAATCCAACAGTTGGGAGTAGATATATGTTAGAAAGAAATTTCTCACATTGTCAGCTAGGAACTGTAGCAAAGAGAATTACAGCATGAGCTGGTAGCCTCAAGGTGGGACTTCTGGAATGCGCTTTCCTTTGTATCAAGTTTGAAAACTCCAATTAGATCAAAACATGGCAGCCAGACTAGTTACAGGAACATCTAAAAATGAGCATATCACACTCATATTAAAGTCACTCTAATGGCTGCCATCTACTCTACCATATCAAATCCAGATTATCTGCTTTGAAGTGGATTATATGGCAGTGTAGACTCATATAATCCAGTTCAAAGAAGATAATCTGGATTTATTTATTTATTTATTTTGAGCATTTATATCCCATCCTTTTCACCTCCAAAGAGGGGCCCAGGACAGCGTACAACAGGCAGCCATTTTTTTTAGTGTCACGAGCGACTTTAGAAACTGCAAGTCGCTTCTGGTGTGAGAGAATTGGCCGTCTGCAAGGACATTGCCCAGAGGACACCCAGATTTTTTGCTGTTTGTGGGAGGCTTCTTTCATGTCCCTGCATGGGGAGCTGGAGCTGACAGAGGGAGCTCATCCATGCTCTCCCCGGATCTGACCTGTGGGTCTTCAGTCCTGCTGGCCACTGGGGGCAATATATTAAAAATCACAGTTACAATTAACATAGTTAAAATAATTATAAACATTCAATGAAAAACAGTTCACCAGATGAAAACATAATCCAGATCAGTCCATTGCGGTCCACTAAAACATTATCTTCCCAGTTGATCCATCTGTTGCACAAACACTTGATCCCAAAGCCAGGATTTGAGTTTTATCTGGTCAGGAGGGAGGGGGCGGATCTAATCTGACTGGGGAGGGAGTTCCACAGCTGGGGGGCCACCATGGAGAAAGCCCTGTCTCTCATTCCCACCAGTTGCCACTGTGAAGGAGGTGGGACCAAGAGCAGGGCCTCCCCAAATGATCTTAACATCCTTGGTGGTTCGTAGAGGAAGATAAGATAAGATCTGCTTTGATAATCTGGATTTCATGGCAGTGTAGATTCAGCCTTAGTCAAATGTACAAAGTGTTGATTTTGACTTTTAAAGCCCTACATGATTTGGCTCCAGGTTGCCCACAGGTTGCCTTCTCTTGTACAATCCGACCCAAACACAGAGCTCTGGAAGTATGGTCAATGAAGGGCAGAATGGACAAAGGGACTCTGTGTAACATAAAGTCATTATTTATTGGTTCATGCTTCTGAGTTTGCAAGTACATAACTCAGGTTTCATTTTGTTTTGTGTTTCCTTCATATAGATTTAGATTAGTTGGAGAAAGCGCTAGTGAATGCATATATCTAAAAGGAGTGTCTAAATGGAACAATTCACTTCCCAGCTGTAATCGTAAGTATCTTAAATTTTATACTAATTTATGTACATAATAATTTGGAAGAAATGCTGATAGAATATAATGGGAGATCTCTTCTAAAATATAATTCCTACATTATACAAGAAATGGAACTGGAAGTGTAAGATTTGCTGTTATACAGTTTGGCTCTTGCAAATGCAACTATCAGTTTCTGAGAAATAAAGATGGCTAATTCCTGATTTCACAATTCTCACCAGCTGTTGTGCAGATTGGTGGAATGGGTCTCGGACATTCTTTTAAATTCTGTTATCCATAGGGGAAGATGTTGTAGGTTTGCTTTATGTGTTCAAGTTCTTTCTGACTTTGAGAAATCCTAAGACAAACCTATGATGGGTTTTCTGGGCAAGATTTGTTCAGAAAGGATTTTCCTTTGCTGTCTTCTGAGGCTGAGAGTGTGTGACTTTCTCAAGACTTTCTCAAGATCACCCAGTAGGTTTATTTGTAGTATTACTGAGATTGTGTAACCCAGAAAGGAAGAGGTTTTCTGGAGAACATTTGACAGGGATATAACAGGGATATAACAGGAAATTGTTTATAATGTAAATTCGGAGGGATCATCAAATCAGCACAAAAAAAAAAGTTGGCTTGTAAAAAAGTATGCTTATCAAGGAAGAGCAGTGTTCTTTTTGTGTATGATAATATTGATTTGTTAATATTTATATTAATTTCAGCCGTAGAGTGTAGATATATGAAAGTCAATTCTGGAATAAGAATAAAAGGAACAGGAGAACCGAATGTCTATGGCAAGATTATTGGATATGAATGCCTGAAGTCTGGCTACGTCCTGATTGGAAGTGCCACTAGTCGATGTGATGAGACTGGCAACTGGAACCCTGGGAGCCCCTTTTGTGTAAAAAGTAAGATTATCCCCCCCCCCAATCAATTATGGATCTTCATTCAGTGATAATAAACTACTAGTGATTAAGTATTTTATAATGTGCTATTCGACTATATATACTCTGCATGATGCTCATGTGTTTGTTTGTTTTTTTCATTTTAGAAGCTGCTTGTGAATATCCAGGTCCACTGACAAATGGTATAGTTCAAGAAGAACAGAAAGAGTACAAGATTGACTCAGAAGTTACATATTATTGTAATCCAGGGTAAGGCCACTACATAAAGATGCTAAACAAGTGCTAAAATGCATTTTTATCCACTTGTAGTTTTATTCTGAATTCCTTTTGCTGAAGTTGAAAATGCTGCATCATAAACTAATCATTCAGTACAGGATAAAAGAGGAATCCAACTGAAAGCAGTGTCTCAATATGATAATGAACATCTCTCTTAAATGGGTAAAGTCACCAGTGAAGTGTAGAAATGAATGAAATAAATGTCTCACCTTTTCAGCTAGGAGCTGGAGCAAAGAAAACGTTTGGCAGTTTCTGTGAGAGAGCATTTGGGGGGCTTGTTTTTTTTTTTTAATTCAAATCAGACTATGAATGCCAGCTTCCTGGACAAAGAAGTTTGTAGCTCTGGAAGTATGGTTGATGAAGAGCAGAATGTATTCTGTGTAACATGAAGTCATAATTCATTTGTCCACACGTTTCTATTCGCTAGTGCGTAACTCAGATTTCTAAATAGGTTGATAATTTAGTTTGGTATTTCCTGCATATAGGTTTACATTAGTTGGAGAAAGAACTAGCAAGTGTGTGTTTCAAGAAAAAGAGATGAAATGGAGCACTTCACTTCCCAGCTGTGAATGTAAGTATGTTACATTCTATACTAATATATGTGCATAATTAATTGGGAGTAATGCTGATAGAACATCATGGGAGATCTTTTCCAAAATGTAATTACATAATGGTTGCTGTGGAGATTGAAGGAATGGGAGAAGAAAGTGGCGACTGACACTTTGAATCAAGGAAGGGTTCCAGCATCCCTAAAAAGAGCAGCAGTAAGCTTTTGTCAGAAACCCTCTCAACTGTGACTTATTGGATAATTTCAGATGGCCAGTCTTAGATACTTTGTTCTTGGGAAAGATGGTAGAGGTGATGTTTCAGTATAAGGCAGTTGTTCTCAACCTATGGGTCCCAGGTGTTTTGGCCTACAACTCCCAGAAACCCCAGTCAATTTCTGGGAGTTGAAGGCCAAAACATCTGGGGACCCACAGGTCGAGAACCACTGGTGTAAGGGATTATTGGTTGAGAACCATCACAGTTTGTTTGGCTATGGGCTTAAGGCAGCTTTAACTACATTGTTGGGTGATCTACAGTAAGAACTGGACATATGAAGGATGAACCTGTCAGTTCTTCTGAATGTCCTGGCGGTTTTTGAGGCTAGCATGCATGATAATATTCTGGATAGATTCTTTGGCAGGATAGGTGTTTTACAAGACTAAGATACTTCTTGGAGGTGTGACGTAAGAACGCATTGCTGAAAAAAAATCTGTTCAACTATGGTCTGTAGATTCCCTCTATTAATCTAGGTTATTTATAGGTACATGCAACTCTCTTGTTGCAAGAACTTCTCTGTCTGTTTCCAGGCACAAAGATTCTGGTTAAGAGTAGAAAACTCCTTTATGACTTGATCTTTCAAGTCACTAATGAATCCACTTTAACTGTCTTGGCTCAATGCTATGAGGTCATGGGGGCTGTAGCTTGGGATAATGGGAGTTGTCAAAGAATGCTGATGCCAAACTACCAAACTACAAATCCTAGGATTGCTTAGCACTGAGCCCTGGTCATGTAATTAGAGATGGTGTCCATCTGATAGAGGCACCAGGTGCTCCTGAATCAGCTTCCTTGTTTGCTTTGGCTCAGCACTAACATTACTGTATTATGTGAATCTAATGCACATTTTAATTTTGGGAAGTTACTTTATCCCAAAAAGGTGAGCATTAGATTTGAATAAATACGATATAACTTCCTGTACAAGATAGCTGGGCATTGGGATCTTCGGAGAAGCCTTTCTCTAAGTCTTGCCACAATCAGAAGCACATCTTGTGTCTATTCATAGGTTGGGGAACTGTTTTCCAAGGTAACATAGGTCGCTTCTCTCTCTGTTATCCTTGTACAAGTTGAGTCTCCTTTTCCTTTAAATCTGTAAGATCCACCCTTCTCCCCCACCCCAACTTTTTGCTGCTTCTCCCACTTCTGCCTTTGAGGAAAGAGAGCTGGTTATACATTCAGCTCTCACTAATATATTTTTTCTCAAAGAGAACTTGCTCCACCACAGCCTGACATCTGATGCAGAAAAAGGAGTTGGGGAGGACTTTGGATTCTGCTGTTGGAGGGTCCTTCCAGACAGGCCCAATACCCCAGGATCTGATCCCAGGTTTTCTGTTTATCCCAGATTATCTGGCAGTGTTGACTCAAATAATCCAGTTTAAAGCAGAAAATCTGGGATCAGATCCTGGGATGCAGGGCCTGTCTGGAAGAACCTGAACGTACGTATTTCTACTTTAAAAAACATTAGTTAAATTCCACTTAGTTCCACACTTAAAATCTGGGACTCCACTGGGCTCACTACATTAGTTTGGGTCCAAGTGTAGTTTTTCAGTCTTTTAAACGTAGTGGGCAGAAGTCTTTTTCAATGTATCAGGAAGAGGTGAGGAAATTGATTTTCCTCAATTATCTGTTTGTTTTGCCAGACTTCTAATGAAGTAGCATTTGTTGCTCCCAGTTGAAAATGTGGGAGGGAAAGTTGTGGGAGGAGTTAAAACATCCGCTCTGGTTAGGAAGAGTTCAGTCACTGCCATTTCCTAGGTCTTTGCCAAAACAATTTCTTTTATTAAAAAAATCCCTTAGAAATAAGCCCCACTGAGTTCAATTAAATTTTAACACCTTTCAGGGCTGTCTAGCTATGTTCCAGAAGCATTATCTCATCATGATCAGAGGCAAGTGGGAATAATGCAATTGGCCACCTTGATTAGCATAGAATAGACTTGCAGCTTCCAAGCCTGGCTGCAACAATGATGCCACTTTCCAGATCTTTGGGATTCAGAAGCTGGAGTATATGACAGTGTAGATGGGGCCTTAGATAATATCATTTCAAGATAAATTTCCTTGGAAATAAGCCCTACTGAGTTCAGTTAAATCAGGGGTCCTCAAACTATGGCCCGGGGGCCGAATGCGGCCCTCCAAGGTCATTTACTCGGCCCTCGCTCAGGGTCAACCTAAGTCTGAAATGACTTGAAAGCACAAAACAACAACAACAACAACAACAATCCTATCTCATCAGCCAAAAGCAGGCCAACACTTCCCAATGAAATACTAATAAGTTTATATTTGTTAAAACTGTTTTTCATTTTAATTATTGTATTGTTCTAAAGTATTTTTGCACTACAAATAAGATACATGCACTGTGCATAGGAATTCATTTTTTTTCAAATTATAATCCGGCCCTCCAACAATTTGAGGGACTATGACCTGGCCCTCTGTGTAAAAAGTTTGTGGACCCCTGAGTTAAACTCTAGAACTTTTCAGGGCTGTCTGGCCATGTTCCAGAAGCATTATTCCCTGACATTTCACCCACATCAGTGGTAGGCATCCTCTGTGGGAAGTGGGAATGTAGCAATTTGAATAGCCTTGCAGTTCCAAAGCCTGACTGCCATATGCAATGATGCAAGTATCCAGATCTTTGGAATTCAGAAGCTGGTGTATATGGCAGTGTAGATGGGGCCCTACACTGTAGATGCGGCTCCCACTTTTCAGAGGCAAGTGGGAGTAATGCAATTGGCCACCTTGATTATTATTGAATAGCCTTGCAGCTTCAAAGCCTGACTGCCATTATGCAATGACGCAAGTATCCAGATCGTTGGGATTCAGAAGCTGGTGTATATGGCAGTGTAGATGGGGTCCTACACTGTAGATGGGGTCCCTACTTATCAGAGGCAAGTGGGAGTAATGCAATTGGCGGCCTTGATTATCATTGAATAGCCTTGCAGCTTCAAAGCTTGGCTGCCATTATGCAATGATGCAAGTATTCCCTAGTCTGCTGCTGCTAATGACTGCTGTGTAGAGACAGTAGCAATAAAGACTATGCAAAAAAGCTGAGCAAAATTAAACCAATGTGGTAAAAGATTGGGAAAACACCCCTTTCCCCCCAAAATGGAGTTAGACAAAACTCTCCTCTCCTCTCCTCATTCAAACAGTTCCCAGTTTAATGTAGTGAAGTCCTCAGAGAGAGAGAAAAATCCAAAATCTTCCAACTATTTTACCAATCCACATCATGTTTTCCTTCCACATAGAAATTATGATAGTGATTCAAAAACAATATGATAGGGTTTTTTAAAAAAAAAATATTGTTACCCATGAGAAAGTAAGTTGTGGGTTTGTTGTAGGTGTTCAAGTTCTTTCTGACTTATGGAAACCCTGAGGTGAACCTAACATGGGTTTTCTGGGAAAGATTTCCCATAGCTGAGTTGGCCTCCAGACTTGTAGTCCAATGTTCAATCCATTACATGATGCTGTCTCTCTGATCAGAAGATACTATATTATATTTATTTGTAACATTGCTAACTGATATTGTAGAATCCAGGAAGAAAGAACTTTTTCAAGAGAGTATATGTCAGGGATTCAACAGGAGTCAAAAATAATATACATTCAAAGAACATCAAGATTTATACAATCCAACATTTCAGAAATGAAGTCAGCAAAAATGCTGTCTTGTAAGAAAATATATATGTCAAGAAGCATCAGTATTCTATTGTTGGACATGAGAGTGTTAGTTTATTAATATATATGTTTATGTTCTTTTCAGCGGGAAAGTGTAAAAATCCAGAAGTCAGACACGGAATAAGGTTAACGGGATTAGACTCATTTCATGCATATGGCCAGACTGTTACATATGAATGCAAAATTGGGTACTATATGGTTGGAAGTTACATTAGTCGATGTGAAGAGAACGGTACCTGGTACCCTAAGATACCAACTTGTGAAAAAAGTAAGTTTTTTTAAAAAAAATGTTATCAATTACAGGCAGTCTCTGAGTTACAAACATCTGACTTACATACAACTCCTAATTGCAAATGGGAGTAGGACAACAGGAAGTAAGCGGAATCTTCCCCTAGGAAATGAAACTCACTCCTGCAAGAGTTATCATAGGAAAGGTATCTCCACAGAAGCTTTATCACCAATCCTTGTTTCCATGATAATTCACAATTTTCAAAATCCAAGTGTCACGGGATGGAAAGTGAGGGGAAATCTTCTGAAAAGGGGCAGAGACTGCAAACCAAACATTAAGTAAAGGTAAAGGTTTCCCCTTGACATATGTCTAGTCATGTCCTACCCTGGGGGTGGTGCTCATCTCCATTTCTAAGCTGAAGAGCTGGCGTTGTCCGTAGACATCTCCTAGGTCATATGGCCAGCCTGACTGCATTACCTTCCTGCCAAAGCATTACAGTGTGTTAACTCTTTCCTATGCTATCCAAAGCTAAAAAATAATTTGGCTGGAGTTACACTTTAAAAATGTCCCTGTTCCAACATGTTTTGTTTACAGGAACAAAAGAGCAAACCTACAGAACATATCACGTTCTTAACGCAGGGACTGCCTGCATGGTTCTTCGTTCACTGATTAAGGAATTTATAATTCACAATAAGTTCCCCTACTATACTCATTATGATACTTGTCTTACAGGTTGAGTTTTTCAGTAGACTACAATAAATTTGTGAGATCTCTCCCCTCTCCCGCAAATTGCTTTGATATGGAAGAAATAGGGGCACATATGCTAGCCTTTAAAAAGCAAACATTGTTTTTAATTTGCCTTTTTATCTGAAGATGGGGTGGTTAAGCTTTGTTTACAGGAACAATAGGCACATTGAAATACTTTACATAAACTTTTGTGGGAGAAATGCCTGGTGTGCCACTTTTCCTGCTTTTGCATCAACAGTTTTTTTGTCTTTGGGGTGAGCTCCTCCGTTTCCTCTTCCACCAAGGCTGCATCCCCTGGAAGTGCCTCTCATAGCACAGCAGAGCGAGCTGCACAAGTTCCCTTTTTGAGGAGGCCAATCTCAGTTCAGACTTTGACCCTGATGTGGCTGAGGGAATGAAGATTGCAGAAAAGGTCCTTGAAGACTGTTCAGAAGCAAGCGCAGAGGACAAGGCGTATCCCTGGCAGCCTCTTCTTCAGTCATGCTTAATAATTCCTCTCAGTTGAGCTTTCTATGGGAGCAATGTTTTTGGGTGTCAACAAAAACTGTAGCTCTTGGTTCTTGAAGTAGCAAATGTGTGCCTCTAGTGGTGACACTTGAGAGGGAATGGCATGTAGACTGGATATTTAGAGAGCCCTAAAAGTTTATATGAGGCACTAGGCTTGGGCCCAAATTGGTTTGAACAAAAATGATTTGTAATATTCAGTGGTCCATGTTATATAATATCTGAAACCAATATGGGGAGGAGGGAACCACAAAGCCTGGTAAAATGGATTAATGGAACTGGATTTTATCAACTTCTGGAGAGGATGGAGTCCGATATACCTGAGGCAGGAGTCTGCTGTGGGGCTTCTGAAGAAGATGGGATTATTGCAGCGTCCTTTTCTCCCTCTCTGGTAGAAGCACTGTTTGTTCATTTTTTTTTTGAAAGTTTCCTAGGCTCCTCCACCAGAGAGGGCCCTGCTGGAAACTCGCTTTCCCAGCAGCACTTGTATTGGGCAGGCATTGAAAAGTCTCCGAGTTCCTCTCAGAGAATGATGAGAGAAGTTGCTCTCTCTCTCTCTCTGTTTCTCATCCAACAAAAAGCCTTGCTTTGATTGGCAGAGAATGGACACAACCAGTAACTACAATTCCCAGAACCCTCTTTTGCGGTTTGTCTTATTTTAAAAATGTTATGGTTTAAACTTAAATTAATTCTAAAAAGTCCATAGATAGGTGAATTGTTTCAAAACTTGGCAAGCCTGCAGTTGTAAATGGGGTCTAAAACTGAGGTAGGTTTCATGCAGATATGCCTTAAAATGACTGAACATTGAGCCTTTACATTTTCCTATTGTAGCTAATGGGCTGATTATTTGCCAAATGAAAATCATATCTGCTGCTGTATCTGCTGCTTTTTCACTCATTTCCTTGGAGGAGTGTTGGTTGAAACATTTGGGCACAACCTTTAATCTCCACCAAATATTGTTTGTATCTGCGAGGGTTTCCTTTGGCAGGAGAGTTTGCCAGCAAGTGGTCCGAATTTCATTTTATTTCTGTCACTTCTTCCTTGCTGCCTTCTTCCTCCTGACACAGACAGTTTGGTAGATCCCATTCCTGGAATTGTATCTTTCTATTGGCAGAGAATGGTACATTCAGAACTTATTAGGAAGACCCATTCTTGCCAAGAAGATGGGAACATCCAGCCCCACCCTCTTGAAAGCAAGGCTCTTCTTTCCTTTTTTGTTCTGTCTTTGGCTTTTGCACGGAACTGCATGAAGATGCTATGGAGTCAATGGAAAATAATTTGGTTCTATGTTCCGTTGCTTCAATTGGGTGGAGAAAAAGTCAACCTATTCCTTGATTTCTCTTTTTCCTATGCAAGAATGGACCTTCACAGTAAATTCCCAATGTATCATTCCATAATCATTTCTTTGTTTTCTTCTCAGCATGTGCTTTCTGTTATATTAATGAAAGGTAAAGCTGCAAGAGCCTAAGGAAGGTCTTGATACTTAAGAGAATGGTCTCTTGGCCTGGGTCCCCTTTCTGAGATACTGTGGCTAATCCTAAGTTCCAAAATCCTGTCTAGAGATAGGAGGAGCCTTTTATAAATGTTTTCCTTTCTCTTTTTACTTTCAGTGTTGTGTAAACTTAGCATTGTTACAATTTCCAGTTATAATTCACATTAGTTTTTTTTAGTTAATTTGATAAGAAATTTTGATAAGACGTCAGAAATTGAAATTAATACGTTGAGAATGATTTCTCTATTTTCTTTTTGTTATGTGCCTCTTGTTTTTTTTTATAATTTTGTGGAATCATGGACCTCCGATTTTATAACTTTCTGTAAACTTCTTTGCTGCAGTTAGTCCAGAAGTATGTGGTGCTCCATTCATTGTAAATGGAACAGTACAGATGTTGCTATCTACATACGTGATTGGAATGGGTATCACTATAATCTGCAATGAGGATAATTCTTTTCTGGACGACACAACGGAGATGACTACAGAATGCCTAGGCTACAATGTGTGGGATCCTCCTGTGAAACCTTGTTTGTGTAGGTATATATTCAGTTCTGAGGTATCAACATATGTTGGTCTAAGTTGAGGTGGACATACTCAAGACCCCGAAAAGGCACACTGCCTGATTTTGGGTTCCTTTGGATGGATGCAGCTCTTTTTTATGGCCACCATTCTATCACTTATGGCAGGGATGGGTCAGGGGAGATGGGGCCAATTCCACCACTTGATCCCCGTGTGGGCCACACTCCCCACAGTAATCCAAAATAATTCTTCTTTAACCCTTCTCAAAATAGTAACAAGGAGTAATATTGCATCATTTCTCATTGCCATTCTGAGAGACAACGCAGAGCAAAACAGGTACTTGATGGTAGTATGAAGTTCTGGGATGATGGTATAAGTGAATTTCACTGCATAAAAGTTATTATCGTATTAGGGAATCCTCACCTATGTTTTTAGATTAAAATCTGCCAATTTATTTATTTCAAACATTTATATCCCATCCTTCTCAGGGCAGATCACATCTGGCAACCATTAGATGTCAAAGAAACAATTATAATAGCATCAACAATTAAAACTATTAGTTGAAAACATCAATTATAAACATCAATTTCAAAACAAATCCAAATCCAAATCACAATCTGAAGTCTGTCCATTGTCGGTCACATAAGTCATTTATATTATTATCGCTGTGTCTGCTACTCAAATGCTTGGTTCCACAACCATGATTTAAGCTTTTTCCTAAAGGATAGAAGGGAGGGGACCAATCTAATTTCATTAGGGAGGGAGTTCCACAGATGGGGGCCACCACTGAGAAGGGCCTGTCTCTCATCCCCACCAATCATGAAAATCAGGGATTTTTCATCCAAGAGAATCAAGGATACACCTTAAATTTAGATACCAGAATAGCTTTTGTATGAACTCTTAGGTTGAAAAATCTGGATCACATTATAGGAATTCTTTTCATAAAATGAGTTACCTTTGCAAACACGTTGCTTTGTTTTTGGTTGTTTTTTTTGCTTTGTTTTGTTAATAATTGTTTATTTGCATTTTCAGCTACGACATCACCTGACATATCTCCACTGACGATTTATAATGGTGCAATCATAGAGGGAAAGAAAAGACACTATCGGCCTGGAGATAGTGTTGTTGTTTCATGTAATGCTGGCTATACATTAATAGGGCCATCTACCATACGCTACATTGGGGGAAAAAAGTGGACACCTTATATGCCAACCTGTTCTCTGAGTATGTATACGATTTGTAAATAGATGTTGTAGGAAAACTTGTATTTCCTGTCACTCTTATTTTTCCTCAGAAATAGGCGGGTTTTTTAAGTAAAATGTTTAAAGCAGACTTCAACAAAAATTTACTGACTTGTGTTACACAAAGCTTATGAGAGTAAAATATTATGTTGTGGTGTGGACTATGCATGTATATTGCATAGCTTTTGTATTTGAGGATGCTGGGCATCTAATCTGGATTTCAGTCTAATTTCAAAGGAGCTATCCAGAGTGCTGAACCCTGTCCCCAAATCTGCTCCTATAAGAATCAGATGAAAACCTGCACGAATACTCAGATCCCAGCAGTTCTGAGAGATTGGAAAGAAAGCTTCCATTCCTTCCCTGAAACAAATTATGCTTTGCATACAGAAAAACACAACCTGTACAAGGATTTCTGGGTAAAAAAACTGAAAACCCTTCTCTCCACCATGTTCACCAGTGATTCTGGCTGCACACTATTAATTTCTGGAGGCAGAGGGGAAGGAGCAAACTTTTAAAAAGGGAGATCAGACTCTTGTTAAGCGAACGCTTAAGATGTTGGGAGATGCATATGACATCCAAGACCCATGTTGTATACATAGACAGTGCCTTTGGCAGTAAGCACCAGTAGTTGTAGGGATGAAAGGTACCCTTTTTAATACGATTTCCTGCACAAAAAGAGAATAATTTGATCGCATGAATTAGAAAGAAGGCATTTGGGGCGCTTCTACAGTGGCACAAAATGCAGCTCATTTTGGCCACATGTTGGTGCTTCTTTGGGGGAGTAGCAATGGCAGTTTAGAGCCTTTTTCTCTGTGCCACAATGTTGACCAAAGCTCCTAATTACTGAGAAATTTTTAAAAATGTATTATAGTAAATGACATAGTTTTACAACCATATTGGCTGTGAAATATTCTAACGTTTTGGCATATAGTATTTCAGATAAGACTGCCTTTCTAATATACATTCCATTTTTAGAGAGCAAACTTTTAAAAACTATAAAAAATAAACTAACTTTTCACAACTTTCTCCCTTGTTTAGATTTTCTCCTTGTGATGCTGATAATTGGTATGTATGTATTGCAAAAACAACAAAGACTATTGTGGCACTTTTAGTGCATTAGCTTTGTCAGCATTTCCTATTTTAAACCAACCTTGTTTGACTTAGAATAATTTATGGAATTATCCAAATAATTGATTTTCAGATTAATGAGATCTAAATGCTGGCTGAGTAGCAAAATTGTTCCATGAAACCTGAAGAATGAATTATTTTAGTCCTTTTTACACTTCAAAGCATCTTTAATAGCCTCATTTGTTTTGCTTCATTTACAGTGACTTATATTTTCAATCCTTTAATTGATTTCATGTTTCTAATTTCAGTTAATTTGAGAAAACATATATAGGTCAAGCCGTATGAAGTCATGTATTACTTTTCAGATTGTTTTTTTCATGTTAGAAGCAACTTGAGAAACTGCAAGTCACTTCTGGTGTGAGAGAATTGGCTGTCTGCAAGGACATTGCCCAGGGGACACTTGGATGTTTTACCATCCTGTGGGAGGCTTCCCTCATGTCCCCTCATGGGAAGCTGGAACTGACAGATGGGAGCTTACCCCCTCTTGTGGATTCAAACTGCTGAATCCTTCAGGTCAGCGGTTCAGCCATCACAAGGGTTTAACCCATTGTTCCACCTCAGCTCCTTAGATGAATATTCTGCTTTTTTATGAGATTGTTATGAGATTCGAATTAGATGTTTGATTAGAAATTCTTGGTAAACTCTGATGTTGCCTTTGGGCTTCATATTTGTTTTGGGTGTGCCTTTTTAGATTGTTTACATTTTGAGAGTCACTTTAGTCTGATCTAGTAATTGTAATTCTTGACATGCATTTTACAAATATTGGATTTGTAGGCTTCCCCTATTTTTCCAATGATAAGTCCAGGGAGAAGCCTGTATTTTCAAAACTTTGACACTGATTGCTGAAAAGACAAGTAACACAGGATTATGTTTTCTTTGCTTTGTTCGTTCACTGAATGGGGACAGTTCAAGTATTGATATTATAAGTTTTTTGAAAGACCTCTTGTTTTGGAATCAACGATATAAATGCTTTGACTGTGTATTTTTATCTTAAGGTGTATAGTGCTGGGATAAATCACATAGTCCTACAGTATGTGAGGAAAAGTTAATAATAGCCCTCCTTTATTTATTTTAATTGGTGAAAGTGCTACTACGTAATAAAATAAGATAAATACTCTGGTTGGCTCTTTTAAAAATATCTTCCCTCCCTTTTTTCTTATAGCATTTTTACTCATGCTTTGTTGGCTGCTCATAGATTGGGGTTACAGGAAATACTTTACACAAAATAAGTAAGTATTATTAACTTTTCCTTCCTTCCTTCCTTCCTTCCTTCCTTCCTTCCTTCCTTCCTTCCTTCCTTCCTTCCTTCCTTCCTGTCATGCATCATTTACACAGTGTGTTTCCTTCAATATTTCAGAAATGAAAACGTGGAGACGCTTACTGAAGTTACATCAAAGCCTACTGAAGTAATATCAGATCAGTAAGTTGGCAAATGTACAAGATGAAAGAAGCTGCAACAATTTTCCCTTTGTCTGATCTTAATGAGAAGAGCAAGATTGTGTCCCTTCCTCTCCTCTTCTCCCTTGCCTTCTGCTGTATTCATTTGAACTCTGTTGGCAGCATTTGAAGTGAGCAAAGGTCGTGGAGGAAGTAGCCTTAGAAGGTGAAAGAAACTGGGACATTTTCAGAACAGCTTTTTAAAGTAGGACAACAGAGGGTTAATTGTGACATTTAAAAAAAATATATAATTTTATTTGGTTATGCAGATACATTATAATAATTACAATTGCATTTCTATACTTATCTATTACTTATACATATCCATTTTTCCCTTTGCCTTTCCCTTCCTCCCCCTGGAAACACTTATACCTCTGCTCTGTATGCTATTTTATTTGTTTGATCATGAAAATTGTCTGATTCAGTTCCTTATATTTTTCTTTTCCTTTTCTTTTCCTCCTCCATTTCGACTCCCAATTCGACCTTAATATATCCATGAGTATATTTTGTTCTCCTTTCAGTGATATAATCTTGTAGCATATAATCTGATAACTATTTAAACCATTTTTAATTTTCCATTTCCTTTGCTCCTTTCATCCAAAAGCTATTGTTGCATGGATTGCTGCTATCATATATTTTATAGTTTGATCCCAAGCTTTGTTTCTACCTATAATTTCTATTTCCTGGGTAAAGAATTGATTTTTATTCAACTCAATTTTTCCCTATTATTTCCTCGATCTCATTCTTAATTTTTAAATAAGTTTTGTAAATTTTTGCAGTCCCATCACTTATGAATAAACCCTCCAATTCCACTACATATATGCCAGCATAATTTTGATGTATTTTTAATTATATGAGCTAATTGCTGTGGGATTTGATACCATTTTGTCAAAAATGTACATTGTGTTTCTTTAGATGTTTATTTCTTTTTATTGATTCTATCCATTTTAACCTCCTTCTCCTCACTGTTTAATTAATCCTTCCATAACTCAATCAAAGTAATGTTGAAATTATATTGTTTTTCTATTATTTTTGTATATAAATCCTGCAATACTATTCTCCCTCTCTATTTTCCACTTTAAAATCTGGTATAAGTCTGATTCTGGGCCTTCCTTTCTCTTCCATTCTATGATCATCTAATTTTTTTCATACCATTATAACCAGTTACTTTGTCCAGACTTACCTTTTAACTATTCCCATTCCTTTATTGTTCCATCAAGTTTTAATAAGCATCTAATTTTTGTTATTCTATTCTATTTTATACTTTTTATCATTTTTCCATGTGTTCATTTTGATTATCTAATATTTCTATTGGAAGCAATTCTAACTCATTTATCAGAAATTTATTGAGACTATTGGGCCTCTTTTTAGTTTCTTAACTACATTTTTATCTATCTTTTCCTTCAAACATGAGCCATTTTCCCACCTGTTTATTGATTTTTCCATTCTTAGCCATCTTTTTGACTCGCCCAGTTCCAACTCTTATGTCACTAGTTGGAAAGCCTCAAAATAGCTTTGTAAACATGGTGCTCCCCATCCTCCACTCTTTTGTGATGAGTAGAATGTCGGATTGGATATTCTACTTTTGTTAGCCCCCACTATCCAGGATTTCATTGAGTTGTCCCATTTCTTTATTATTTTGTTTGGAATATTAAATGGAAGAGTTTGAAAAAGAAACAAAAACTTGAGTAATTTACATATCTTTAGCATGGTTGTACTATCCCGATTCATTTTTTTTCCAATTATATATTTGCTTGCTATTTTTCTCCACAATTGATTATAATTTACATGTATTAAGTTATATAGATTTTGGGGAATATATACTCCCGAGTATTTTAACTTCTCTCCCCCGCCCCCTATTTTACCCCTAGAATATTTTGCACTTTTTAAAACTCTTCTCAAGTTGAATTTTTATGTAGAATATCTGATTTTTAATATGCATAGTTACTTCTGATTTGCATTAATTCCTTTACAGATTTCTTTGATGATTCTAATAACATCATTGCATCATCTGCATATAAATTCACTTTTACTTTTTCCTTTCCCAATTTATACCCTTTAATTTGATCTTCCTTCCTAATTAAGTTAGCTAAAGGTTCTGTCACCATCGCAAAGAGGATTGGTGAAAGGAGACACTTTTGCTTTGTACCATGTTGAATTTTAATAATTCTTGAATTGGAACCATTAACTATTGTTTCTGCCTGGTTATTTCTATATAATTCTGTAATTATATCACATTCCCCCAAATTTAAATTCCTCACATCAATGAAACAAATATCCATGGTTTACTATATCAAAGATTTTGAAAACATCTAATTTGCTTATGTTTTGAAAAAAGTTTATAGTCTACAATACATAATGTTATTGGTCTATATGAGTTTGGATGGGCCTCCTCCTTATTAGGTTTTAATATTGTTATAATTCACGATCTTTTCCATGTTGCTGGGATTATTTAATTTATCATAATAATATAGTTTCCTTCAACATTTCAGAAATAAAAATGAGGAGCCGATTATCGAAGATTTATCAGATTGGTAAGGTGGCAAATGTACAAGATAATACCAATTTTGCTTTTGACTGATCTTACTGAGAAGGGCAAGATTTTGTTCCTTCCTCTCCTCTTCTTCCTTGTCTTCTTCTGTGTTAATTGAGTGCCAAGTATTTTTAACTCTGTTGGCAGCATTTGAACTAAGCTATGGAGGAAGTAGGAGTAGAAGGTGAAAGAGACTGGGGCATTTTCAAAACAGCTTTTTCAAGTAGGACAGCAGAGAGTTAATTGTGACATTGAGGAATTGAGGAAGCTTGTTTTCTGCAACTCTGGAGACCAGGGCCCCTTCCACACATCTGAATGAAATCCCTCATTAACTGCTTTGAACTGGGATATATGGCAGTGTGGACTCATATATTCCCATTCAAAGCAAACATTGTGTGTTATTCTGCCTTGATATTCTGGGTTATATGTCTGTGTGGAAGGGCCCCAGGATAGAGAGCAATGGATTCAAATATCAGAAAAAGAAATTAGGAAGAACATCCTGATAGTAAGAGCTGTTCAGCAGTGGGATATGATGGCATAAAGCAGATAGCTATTTAATTTTATCTGGTGAAAGGAAAAAAGGATTTAGGCTTGGATGCATGATGGAAGGTATTTTATTGGGATTTTATCAGCTACTCCCTTTGGGTAAAACCCTTTAAGATGCCAGGAAGCCCCATATTTAACGGGACATTGTAGATCCCCCAAGGTAATGCCCCAGTGATGTGCTCAGCATTGCCCTCTGGGGAAACAATGCCTGTCATTGAAAGAATTGATTTGTGAAAGCAGAATGCTCACTGTAGTTTCACATCCAAAATTTGGTGACTTAATCACCTTAATTGCTAAATGAGACTATTTTTTTAAAAAACTTAAAGTTCACCTATTAGAATTTGTATTCCAATTTTACAAAGAGGAATGCATTTGTTTATTTTTCTGAATCTTTAATTCTTCTGAGCTAATCATTAAAAAAATCTTTTAAAAATTCTATAAAAAGAGATAATTAATAAGTCTCATGAATCTCCCAAACAGGGAATAATATTGGCTGCAAGAGTCTCCTTCTGTTTTAAGAAAGGTAAGTCCTGTCTTCATTTTGTTTACAGAAACTGATGAGGAACATTAATCTGTGATGCCTTCCTAGTTACTTCCTCTGGCCAGTTTATATCAAATAAATAAAATAATCAAGTGGTTGTAACTTGAAGGCCTGATTTTAATTTGTCCATCTCTGTAGCAGAAAGTGAATCTTGTTTTCTTCAATTAACAAACATTTCAAAGGTACATGTAGCATAAATTTATTTATATTTATTGCTTGTATATTGATTGTTAGTCCCAACAAAATAAACTCATTGAATCATTGGCAGAATGATAACCATTGTATAGACTGCTTTGGTTCATTGGAACTCCTTCAGTTTGGATTAACAATCAGATTTACATTTAAGGACATCTGTTCCTCATGAATGCTGTGCCAACTCTCATATTTTGTAGCATAAAGGAATGAGAAATATATTCCAAACATTACACTGTTCTGAATTGGAAAAATATGTGTGAATACATAAACATGCTTTTATGTTTTATACAACATGAATCCATATTGTTGTTTTCAGGGACTCTTCTGATTTGAGGAAGATTCTCAATAATGCCTAATAAGCTTAATACATACCCTTACATGAAGAAATTATGTGTATCCACGACTATGATGTGAGTAGTTACGTGCTGCTGGGACAATGGTGCCATTTTTTACAGATGCTTTCATGTCACTTTGTGGCTTCTCTGCTATCAAGTCTTCAGTGTTTGAGAAAGGAAACTTGCAATCTCTTATAATTCTACATGGTCAAATGAGTGTTCCTTATAGTTTTGCTAATTTGCATTCAGCCGTATTTTTTCTGTAATTTTCCTTATTTTTTTAAAGAAATCTAACAAATAAAAATAGTGTCAAAATAAAAAAATCAAATACAAAAATAATTCATAGGTCCAAATATTAGTATATTATACATGCTCAAATATTACTATTTTTTTTATAGTTTTGCTGATTTGCACTCAGCCATCCTTTTTTGGGCAATTTTTAAAATAAAAATTTAAAAATGTAACTTAAATCCAATAAATAAAAAAATGCAGAAAAAATACACAAAATAAAAACTACAAAAAAATTAAATGTTTAAATGTTAGTATATTTGACATGTCCAAACATGGCTATTCCTTATGGTTTTGTGAATTGGCACTCAGCCAAATTTGGGAGGGGGGGGGGGGGGGGGGAGGTTAATATTTTAAACTACATTTTTAAAGATACAACGTAAATCCTCAAACTTTTTCATTTCACTTTGTGGCTTCTTTGCTTTCAAGTCTTGAGTGTTATAAGGAAGAAATTTGTATTTTACATTTAGTTAAACTAAAGTCTCTTATAATTCTACATGTCCAAACATTACTATGGTTTTGCTGATTTCCACCCAATCACATTTTTTCATAATCTTTATATAAAAATTTCAAAAAACCAAAACCTAAAATAAAAATTACAAAAATTACAAAATTATATATATCTCCCCATCCATCCATCCATGTCTAAATGCTAGTATATTCTATATGTCCAAACATAACTAATTTTGCTGACTGGAACTCAGCCATACCCCCCCCCCCCATTTTTTTTAATTAAAAAAGCAATTTAATTCCAGTTAAAAATACAAAATAAAAATAATAATAATCTACATGTCTAAACATTACTATTATTCTGTATGCCCAAACATAGCCTTGGTTTTGCTGACTGATAATGGTAATGAGCCATATTTTTTTTATAATTCTTTTAATTAAATTTCCAAAATTGCAACTGAAATCCAATACATTGTTTATTGTTTTGTTTCAATTTATTTGTTTTGCTGATGTGCACTCAGCTGCAGTTTCAAGTTTTTTTTTAATTTTGAAAAATTACAAAAGGATAAAACTTGGAATGTGAGATTGGTGCATTTTGTCTCCAAGAACTCAGTTGAGAAGACAAATTGTATATAGGACTGAATATAAATTTTGTACTTATGAAAGACTTAATTAAAGACTTCCAGATTGGAATTGTGATGTTTGTTGCTTTGTAAGAAATAAAATGTCATGCACGTTTTACATCTAAACTGGTAAGAGTGTGCTTATTTATTTATTTATTTATTTATTTATTTATTAATATTCCGCTTTTCTCCCACGGATGGGACTCAAAGCGGCAAACAAATGGTTTGAAAACAACAATTACATAATTCAAGAAGACAGCCAAGTAAACAAAAAATAAACACATGTTTGTAACTCTCTTCAAAGCCTCCAGATAGATGGAAAAGTGAAGAGGGGACTCTGCTTGTTAACTGTGGAAAGGGGCAATAGATTTGGCAGAGAAAAAGCGTGACACGCATCAAGGAACACGAAAGGCACTGCAAACTACTCCAACCAGAGAAGTCAGCCATAGCAGAGCACCTGATGAACCAACCTGGACACAGCATATTATTTGAGAACACAGAAATGCTGGACCACTCTCACAACCACCATGTCAGACTACACAGAGAAGCCATTGAAATCCACAAGCATGTGGACAATTTCAACAGAAAGGAGGAAAACCATGAAAATGAACAAAATCTGGCTACCAGTATTAAAAAACTCTAAAATTACAACAGCAAAACAACAGAGAGTAAACAATCAGGCACATCAATTCACTCTCAACAAGAGATTCCCCCCAGGCGCTTCCAGGCCATTGAATGCAAATCAAGGTGATCAGCTGAAACATTACCCTGGTCATTCCACAGATATATAAACCCATTTTTCCTACTTCCAACAGACCTCACTACCTCTGAGGATGCTTGCCATAGATGCAGGCGAAACGTCAGGAGAAAAATTGCCTCCAGAACATGGCCCTATAGCCCGGAAAAACCTACAACCACCCAGTGATCCCGGCCATGAAAGCCTTCGACAATACAGTATTCAGGAAAGTAGTATGTCTGGATAATCCTTTGCTGCCACCTGGTGGCCAGGTGCGAACGGTGTATGTTTCTCAATTTATTCACAAGGAAGCTTTTAAAGCACAAGCGGAAGCCTGACTGCAAGCGTTGCCATGGAAACGTAAGCGTGGCCCCGCCCCTTCCGAGGCACTCAGATCTCTCTCAGCCCCGCCCACTGCTTCCTTTCGACCTTAACTAACCTCAGAGGACTCTTTACTTCAGCGCATGCGCCGGATGCTTCTCGCCCCGCTGAGTCCGCATGCGCAGTGCTTTGTTTTTATTTTCTTGGTGTCCTTATCTAATGATGCTGCGTCTGCCAAAGGCTTTTTTCAGAGGAGGGCTCCAGAGGTAGAACTTAGCAGAGTCATACGCTGCCCTGATTTCCGGGTTCTGTTGGTATTTTAAGCACACCCTGTTTGTTATGGAGGGGGAAAAGTCTTATGTAAGTAGGTTTGAGAAATTATCGTCTCTGCAAGAAGAAGAAAAATGCAGACTAGTAAATCCAGAAGTCCCAATACTCTTGTTGAAAAGAAAACCACATCGGATCCTGGGAGTTGTAGTTTGGGAGGGGGACTAAACTCTTTTGACCTTGTAAAACCACAACTCCCAGGACTTCCATTGCCTTGAGCCCTGGCAATTAAGGTGATGTCAAACTGCATTCATTCCACAGTGTTGATGGGACCCAGTTCATTTAACAGATGCACCCACTGACTCCCAGTGCCAGTTTATAAAAACCTTGAAAACTTTTCTGAGAAATGGCCCCCTTCGCTTATGTCAAATGGAACCCGGAAATCTCTTCTCCAGGCTGAGCTGCAAAAGTGCCTCATCTCTTTGGCGGGTCCCTGCAAGGGGGCTTGGCTGGGAAAAGCGGGGAGGGGAGGAAGAGGAAAGGCAACGCTGCGCCCCCACCACATTTCCGGTTACCGTTTGGACCTCCGTGTTCAGAGAGGTAAGAACGAGAAAGGATTGGATATTCTTCTTCCTCCTCTTCCTCCTTAAACAGTTTATTGCCTTACAGGCTTGTTGTCAAGTGTAGTATGTTCCCACCTCCCCCTGCATTAGTTCCTCAAGCCTTTTCTGACATGTCAAGGGTGAGTAGGGATGGGGATGGTAATGTTTGTAACTGAGCTTTTGTGTCAGCACTTTTCATTTGTCTTTTTCTCTGCAATTATGCCTTTCCGCACCTTGTGGTGTTGTTAGATGTTTTAAGCTATGTGGGTTTTTTGTTGTTATATATGTATTTCATATAAAAGGTAAGGTAAAGGTTTCCCCCTGACATTAAGTCCAGTCGTGTCCAACTCTGGGGAGTGGTGCTCATATCCATTTCTATGCCGAAGAGCCTGGGTTGTTCATAGACACCTCCATGGTCATGTGGCTGGCATGACTGCATGGAGCACCATTACTTTCCCGCTAGAGAGGTACCTATTGATCTACTCACATTTGCATGTTTTCAAACTGCTAGGTTGGCAGAAGCTGGGGCATTTAAAAACCTTTCACCATTGCCAAATTTTTCATCATCCCAACATTGAACTATGAGGACCCCATTTAGTGTTGAGATCCATAGTTTAAGAAGAAGTGCACTAGACTACACCGCCTTCTCATCTCCTTCTTGCCAGGTTTCTACAGCGGAAATGTGGAGCAATCTCTCCCTTAGTTGTTTGTTGGGGAAAGAAATCCCATAGCTCACATTTCTTCCACATCTTAGGTGCTGCCTCAGAGGTTTTTTTACAGTCAGCTCAAAAAATGTGTTGCCATTAGGCTGTTAGGTATTGTGGAAGCTGATGCTCAAAACACCTGGAAGGCTTAAGTTTGCCCATGTCTGGTCTACACTGACCATATAATAGTTTATAACTGCATTATATAGCAGGGTAGATGGGGCTATACTGTCTTAGCAATTGAGGCAGGAGACATACACATGGGAGCCTGCTTATGTTCCAATCAGGAAGGATTTCTTATTCATAGTTTTCACAGAATTTCAAAGGTGAAGTATCTAAATTGGTCTTTAGGTGAAGCAAGAATGTTCCTATATTTTCCCCAAAGACAGAATGGTCATTGTAATAGCAGCTCACTAGAACAAGTGATGTGGTGAATTATTTTTGAATTCCTCCATGGCAGGGGCTCCAGCTGTAGATGTGTATCCATATCAGTGGTTCTCAACCTGTGTGTCCCCAGATGTTTTGGCCTTCAACCCCCAGAAATCTTAACAGCTGGTCAACTGGCAGGGATTTTTAGGAGCTGTAGGCCAAAACACCTGGGGACCCACAGGTTGAGAAGCACTGATCTACACTGTAGAATTAATGCAGATTGTAAAATGAATGCAGTTGACCCCACTTTAACCGCCATGGCTCAATGCTATGGAATCCTGGGAGTTGTTGTTTGCTTTGGCTCCAGCAGAGAAGGCTGAAGACCTTGTGAAACTACAACTTACACGATGCCGTAACATTGAGCCATGGCAGTTAAAGTGGTGTCAACTGCATTCATTTTACAATCTAGAGATGCACCCATGGATTCTACAAGTTGCCTTTCTGGACTGCAGTAACAGTAACAAGCATGGTTTGTTAAAAATCGGAAAAATGAATAAAGTAGCCATTTCCATATCATAGTAACATTCCAAGCTTTGCTTGTATGCAACTCTGTACACAATCAGGTGATACTTTATTGGGGATTAGTATCTTGTGCTTATATGTAACACTGCAAGTAAAAAACATTTTGAAATGGTCTGTAAGATTACCGGGCATTGTTTTCATTTCAAATGCCATTTCAAGATGTTGGTTACTTCACGTACGTACTTCCTTTAAAAAAGAATGTTACTGCATGCTGAGCAGTAGGTCGACCGTAGTGAGCAACTGTCTTGCATCGATGTGTATTAATTCTTGTAGCAGTGAAAAAACAGTGAACTTGATAGCAGGATGATAGGTGCTTGGTAAAGTCAACCCTCAGCAACGTTGGAAGCTACGGACAGCATTTCTTCCCCTTCCATCTCATTAATAAGTGAGTTTTAAGT